TCAATCTCCTATTCATTATATTTTTATCCCTAAGGATGTCAATGGCCTCCCTAATCTTCCGCTTCCTTGTATTGTCATCGTATGAGGCTCTTGTTTCTGTTGCCTTCCAATTGCTCTCGTGTCTAGTCTGTGCAATGTGTTCCTCTAGTTCTGATCCTTCGGTATCCATTTTCCTGCAGAGCCTCTGATAACCCTTGAGTTTTATGCTAAGTTTTCTTCCTGTTTATCCAATATATTTATGTTCGCAAGCGCCTCATGATAAACAGTAAACTTCTAAACAATCCAATTTATCTACCCTTTCCTGTTGCGTCGGTAGACTTGGGAAGAGTTGATTTCGCTTTCATGAACACCTGAATATTACATTTCCTCAATATTGGCCGTACTTTTTGAGTTAGTTCGCAAAAGGGTAGGCATATCCACTTTTGTGTATCCTTTATCGTCCTTACTGTTCTTTCATAGTCTCCGTTCTGCCATCGGCTTTTCTCTGCCCGTATGTTTCTTTATAACATTTCGCCAAGGTAGTCATTGCCGAGTAATATACTAATTAGTTTGTTCAGCTCATCGTCCCAGAATTTTACATCCATTAGGCGTAGGCTTCGGATTATCATGCTCCTCATTATTCCTATCTTTAGCCTGTAATTGTGATGGGACCGGAAATTGAGTATTTTCCTAGCATAGCACTTCTTTCTCAACAATTTCTTTTTGAGCCGCCGATAAGAGCAAATCACTTCAATGTCTAGGAACGGTACCCGCTCACCTTCCTCTACTTCTATCATGAATTGAATTTTTTCAACAATTTGGTTTACAAACTTCAGAAACTCTTCCAGTTTTTCTCTTTCATGTGACCAAAGTGCGAAATAATCATCCAGGTACCACATGAGCTAGGCCGATTGTAGCGGTGCCATCGTAAACTTCCCTTCTATTTTGTTCATGTATACGTTTGCCAATAGTGGTGAGAGCGGCGATCCCATAGGAAGTCCAAATATTTGTTAATAGACGTTCCCGTTGAATGCTAAATGGGTTGTCCTTATTGTCAAGTTGATTACCCCTATTAACGACTCTCTACCGAGCCGTTGAGATTCTAGGATATCTTCCTCTCAGTCCAAGATTTCCAGCAGAGCCATCAGCGCATTTTCTCAAGAGATATTTGTATACATGGATTCCACATCGAAACTTACCAATGAGTCCGTTTCTTCCAGTACCATGTTTTTTATTTTTTGAGAAAATTCATGAATGTTTTACCGTGTTTGATAGCCTTTCATTTAATTGCTTGAGTTTCAAACTTATAAAATTTGCTAATTTGTGTGTTGCGGAACAAATTACACAGACAGGAAACTAGATCAATTAGAAGGCAACAGAAAGAAGAGCCCCATACAGTGACAACTAAAGGAAGCGCAAGATTAGAGGCCATTGACATACTTGGGGATAAAAATCGAATAAATAGGAAATTGGAGGAGGGTAGAGTTAGTGATAACTTTGCCTACTGCTTAAGCAAACTCGGGAAAAACAAAAATAGAACAAGACCAGCAAAAAGGAGACCCCTTTATCAGGGATCTATCGCTAACCGGAGGAAAAGAGATCGCGATGAGGAAAGTGGGGGGCTGGAGTTTTCGGCAATCAAGCGAAGACATTGTCAGTCAGTGATGTCTGTTTCGAATAAACCAGTCAACTTTGGAGGCCTGGCAGTCAAGGAGTCTGGGCGAACTGATAAGCATACAGTCACAGAAATTCGAGTTTATGGCCAAAATGTACTATAAATCGACTTGAGATGACGGATGCGACCAGAGAAAGACGTCCAAAGTTTGCTCAGGTAACTTGGGTTTAATCAAGGAGACGACCCGTGAAGGGTCGCCTCTGCTCAGTGAGGCGGCAGTGTTCGTGCTTCTATGGCCTTGAAAAATAGCGCTTGGAATGAAATGTACACTGTGATTGTAACCGAGTGAAATCTGTCAACCAGAAAGATAAGGAACGGATCTACGAGACAATGAGGGGATCCGAATTGGAGGCCCGAGTAGGATTATCGACCGAAAGAGGGATGAATAGCAAGTTTAATGAGGCCACACTAGATTTGCCACAAAAGTGCACACATTTTGACGAGTGGAATGTAAATAAGTGAAAGTTGTGATAGGGCGGGAGTTAGATGAGGGGATAAAAAGTAGATAGATACGCCATGACAGAAAGACTGTTTTCGGCAGAACTTTTGTCAAGGGATTGACTTCACTTGTCTCTTTGACGGATTCGTAGCTTGGGGCGGAGAATGGCAAAACTCACTGATGATGCCGACTATGATGCTGGGAATCATGTCAACTACTATGGCCAACGACTTCGGACTAGGTGCGTTCTACTAAATCCTTCTGACAACAAGACCGAATTGCGAGAACGAAGTCAACTCACTTCTATAAATCGAAAGAAGACTGCGACCATACCAGAGATCACAACATCTTGGTCATCCTATCTAGGATTATTCAAGTTGTTTTTTTATTCCACAGACCAGTTATAATGAGAAATAATGTTACTTGGTTCATTACTCTAATTAGTATTTCAGTATTAATTTGATGGTTAAAATTTGCGATCCTAGTGAGATCCTGCGAAGCTTTATACTGTAATATGGTACCTCCAGATCGAAATAAATCAGATTTAAAATAATCGGCTGATAGAGCATTTCAAAGCTGACTTAATTCCTGTCAAAGGCAACTGGTGCATATTAGGATAAGTTGCAAAAGGGCGGGACAAAATAGTAATTCAAAAATCACGACCAGTGTTTCGAAATGATTATATACC